TCACTATTCATATATGCTACCAATCAGCTCTATGACCTCCATGCTCCCATAAAAACTAAAATGTTTAGAGGCTACCCTACTCCATGGATCACTGACAATATCAAACTGTTGTTCAAGTTGAGAAATGAGGCACGAGTGAAATTCCACACTTTAAGAAAAAACCAATGTAGTGAAGAAACTGTTGAGTCTGCCAGGAGATACTATGTGGACCTCAAAAACCAAGCATCATTTGCACTGGCCCGGGAGAAAGAAGTATATTTCTCCAAGGATATCAACAGGAATCTTAAGAACCCCAAAGTTTTATGGAGGAACCTAAAGACACGAGTCCTGCCTGACCATGGGAACTGCGGGCTCCCGGGTCACTTTGATGACCCGAACAGCATTAATAGAGCCTTTCTTGATGTTCCGGGATCGTGTAGTGTCTCAATGTCTCGGCTGACATTCTTTGAGTTCAGCAGATTCAGTGCTGATGAATCTCAGTTCGTGCTCAGAAGTGTCAGCCAGGCGGATGTTCTGAAAGCATTGCAGGATCTTGGAACAAATGCAACAGGCACTGATGGACTTGGTTTGGATATGCTGAGATTGACACTACCACACACGCTTCAGATTATCACAGCCATAGTCAATACATCAATAAAAACCAACACATTCCCTGAGGCATGGAAGTGTGCTGTGGTGCGGCCTATACCAAAAAACAGCAATCCAAACTCCTTCAAGGACCTTCGCCCCATCAGTATACTGCCGTGTCTGTCAAAAGTTTTGGAGAGGGTGGTATATAATCAGACAATCAAATATCTGGAGGACAACAACATATTGCCCGAGATGCAATCGGGTTTCAGAAAGTGTCGTGGGACTGCAACGGCACTGGCTGATGTTATAGGCAACATACTGGAGGCTCGTGACGGGGGTGAGGGGACGATATTGGTGCTCCTTGATTTTTCCCGGGCCTTTGACTCGATAAACACCACTTTACTGCTTTCCAAGATGGCTTACTATGGATTCGCGATGGAAACAATAAAGTGGTTTGGAAGCTACTTGAACAATAGGTCCCAACTTGTTGAAATCCGTAAAGAGGACGGAACGGTCGTGTCGTCTCTTCCACTACCTGTCGCGCGCGGCGTGCCTCAGGGCTCAATTTTGGGACCGCTTCTGTACATTCTCTACAGTGCCGATATTGTAGACTCAATTAAACATTGCAAGTACCATATGTATGCGGATGATATTCAGCTGTACATGTCTTGTAAACCTGCAGACGTCTCGTTGGCTGTGCAGAATATTAATGCTGATTTGCAAAACGTTTTTACTTGGTCGGAGGACAACTGCCTGGTACTGAATCCGGTGAAATCCAAATATATGGTCTTGGGAAGTAAGAGGACAGTCAGTGTTATGCTGTCTGCTGGGCCAGTGGTTACAATAAACAATGAAAATATAGAAATGGTAGACACGGCAACCAATTTGGGTCTCACTATGGATCCAGAGCTACACTTTGAGAAGCACGTATTAAATAGTACAAGGAACTGTTTTTATAGACTAAAAACTCTATACTGCTTTAGGAAATACTTGAGTGTAGCTCTGCGCAAACAACTTGTGGATAGTCTGGTCCTATCAAGACTGAACTACTGTGACACAGTTTATGGTCCATGCTTGCTAGCAAAAACAAACAGATTGGTGCAGCGTGTTCAAAATGCTTGCATAAGATACTGTGTGGACATACCACGAAGAAGCCATGTCACCCCTTTTGCGAATCGAAACAATATTTTAAAAATGGAAGCTCGGAGACGTTTGCACCTGGCAGGCCTATTGTTTGGAGTTATTACTACCCAAAAGCCACGGTACCTGTATGAGAAATTACAGTGGAGACAGCATAGTTCAATAAACCACATACGCTCAACTACAAATCCACTATCCATCCCTCAGCACAGAACAGCGGCCTTCAGGGGGAGCTTCAAATATGCTGCGACTCACTGTTGGAACAACCTGCCACCACCAATGCGAGGCCTGAAAACCAAAAAACACTTTTTACAACAGTTGAAGAATTTACTGTTAAACACACAAAAACGTACATAGATTACACACACTACATACATAACACATACAATTCACTACTCACCTCAAGGGTCGCGGCCTTCCAACATGGTGATGCACAGGTATCCAACAGGTTGTTGTTCGTAGCTGCAGCCTCCCCCATCATTTACGGTCAATATAGGTATATCTGTATTTTACAGGTCATGCCGGCTACTTGCTGTAAATGCAAAACACACAATTCATATCACACTCACACACGGTACACTACTGCTTTATAGCAACAATTCACGTCACTACATTTACCAAGTTAAGTGAATCATGGTCTGCACTCACGTCATTCGTTGCATTGCATTCATGATCGCTGGCGAATAGTGAAGCTGGCGGGACGCCATTACGTCACCCAAGGAGGTGCTGAAAATCAGCGCTGCGACGCTAACCTCTTGAGGTTTAAGTCGCAGAAATTGCTGAGCATTATCCTGTTTTTGCGCACGCATACATGACGCACAATATTATGACCACAGAGCATGTAAGTTGTAACAATGGCATGGGCAGTGTTTCCTTGTCTATGGTCCACAGATAATGTTAGATATTAAATATTCTATCATTTCAGTAAAATAATAAGTCTGTGGACCATGGACAAGATCTCACTTAATTTTAATTTTTTAGCTTTTTTTGTTTTCTTTTTATTTTTTAAATAATTATGTTATGTGTGTTTTGCGCAGAAATAAATGGTTTTTCTTTCTTTCTTTCTTTCTTTCTTACAGTAATTATTGTAAGTCGAAAGTTGTGAAGTGGATAAAGAAATTATTAGCAGCACTTGTGGTGTCATTTCCCAAAGGGACTCCCGGAGCGCCATCCTAACAGCATGAAGCATTTCCCAGAGAGATTCCTTGTGCGAACAGCTAAGGAGTTAAGGAATGGAACTTCTTGCCAGAGTCTGTATTCCCAAGTGAACAGGTTGCTCATAGGTAGGCGTGCTCCATCGTCGGCCACGTCATCACTTACCATCAGACGAGATAGTGGGCAAACGTCACCTATAAGTATAAAATAAAGGTTCGCCATAATCCCCATACTTAACAGACAGTTTGAGCAAGCGTGGTGATTAATGCTGAAACCTGCTCCGTGTGAGAAGAGACTTTATCCAGCAGTGGCCACTGATAGGCTGTTGATGTGACATTCTTACATCCTTACTATCCTTACTAATATTATAAATCGGAAAGTGAGTTTGTTTGTTTGTTTGTTCCGATTTCACGCCGTAACTACTAAACTGATTGCTTTCAATTTTTGCAGACGTAAAGTTAGAAGTCTGGATTAAATAATAGGGTACTTTTATCCCGGATAAATTTGATATTCTAGAAGGAAAACGAAATTATTGATATAGATGGCGCTGTGTGTATTGGTATATGTCACATAGGCTACTTTTTATCCTTTTGTGACGCGAGCGAAGCCGCGGGTAAAAGCTAGTAAGACTATAAACGTGACTAGCGACCTCTACTCCGACTCTATCTTATTAATGTCTGTCTGTATGTATGTATGTCTGTTCTGCAGGTATGGTAGCGGAGCGCGTGGACCTGCGCTACTTCTTGTCGCTGGGTATGCTGACGTCTGCCATATTCTGCTACCTGTTCGGCATCGGACGTACTTACAATGTGCACAACATCTCGTACTATCTGCTTGTGCAGGTTTGTATTGCTGAACTGTATTTTTATTATGCACTAGCGACCTGCCCCGGCTTCGCATGCGTGCAATATGCATGTATTATACATATAAACCTTCCTTAAGAGTACTATTAAATAAAACAAAATACAAAGGTCGTCGACACAGCCCAGCGCATTAGCAAGTTGAAGTGGCAGTGGGCAGGGCACATAGCGCGGAGAACCGATGGCCACTGGGGCTGAAAGGTTCTCGAGTGGAGACCACGTACCGGCAAGCGCAGCGTAGGACGTCCATCCGCAAGGTGGACAGACGACCTGATCAAGGTCGCAGGGAACCGCTGGATGCAGGTCGCTTCCAACCGGCCTATCTGAAAGTCATTGGGGGAGGCCTATGTTCAGCAGTGGATGTCCTGTGACTCATATGATGATGATGATGAGGATTAAAGAAACCGCATCAAAATCCGTTGCGTAGTTTTAAAGATCTAAGTATACATAGGGACAGACAGACGGCGGTTAGCGACTTTGTTTCATACTATGTAGTGATAGTCTAGAGGTAGACAAAAATAGTCGGATAGTTAGTATTTTAGGCAATAGATTTAATGTTTTGAGAACGGATAATTGTTTTTCTTTATAGTAGGTTTTATTACTACCCTTTTTTCTTCTAACCCGGTATCCTCCCTCCAGGCGGGCGCGGGTATCGCCCAGACGACGGGCTGGCCGGGCACGGTCGCGATAGTCGGCAAGTGGTTCGGCAACAGTAAGAAAGGACTCATCTTTGGGATCTGGAACTCACACACGTCGCTCGGGAATATACTGGGTGAGTTGTGAAGTCGTTTCGGTAGAAGTAGATAATATTTTTGCTGGAATTATGTACTGTTTTTTTTTTATAATGTGGTAATATGTATGACTGATGAGCGATGGGTCTTAAGTTCAGTTCTCAGGTTTTGCAAAGTTCCCTGTTCTCCTCTCTCTCCTCGTCCCACCTGTTACCTTGATTCCTATCTCTCCTGGTCTCCCCCTCTCGCCTTGTCTCCCCCTCTCTTTTCGTCCCCTCTCTCACCTTGATTCATCTCTCTTCCCGTCTACTCCTCTCGCCTTGTCTCCTCATCTCTTCTCGTCCCCTTTCTCACCTTAATCCATCTTTCTTCCAGTCTTCCCTTCTCACATTGATTCATCTCTCTTTCTGTCTTCCCCTCTCACCTTGAGACCCCCTCTCTTCTCTTTCCCTCTCTCACCTTGATTCATCTCTCCCCGTCTTTCCCTCTCGTCCCCTCTCTCACCTTGATTTATCTCTATCCCCGTCTTCCCCTCTTGCCTTGTTTCCCCTTCTCTCACTTCGACTCCCCTCTTTCCCCGTATCTCCATTTCTAACCGTCTCCCTATCTCTTCCTCTCTCTCAGAGAATAACAATAATAATTAAATATACGTATTTCAACATATCTTCTGATCTCGTCCATTATTAACAACCATAATAAAATGTGACCAGGTACAATAATGGCGGCGGAGTACGTGGACTCGGACTGGTCGCTGTCGTTCATATACCCTGGTCTGGTGATGGGTGCCGTGGGCGGCGTGGTCTGGCTGTTCCTGGCTCCAGACCCTCGACACCTGGGTCTCGCCGCCGCCGTCAATGGCAGGAACTCTGTGAGTAACATATTTGTAAGATATATGTATATTACATGGGACTCGTAACATTTTGTGTTTCACTAATCTAGAGGTATACTCCTAACACTGCCATGCCCTCATGTCGTACCGTCTGGGTGCAACGTCACGCTTAGTAACTTATAGTTATTTAGCGGTGGTTGGCGAAAACAGCTCACTTACTCACTCACTCTCTCACTCACTCCCTTTCTGTTTCTCTCTCTCTCTCTCTTTTACTTACTCACTCATTCACTCACTCACTTACTCCCTCACTCGCTTACTTACTTACTCACACACTTACTCCCTCATTCACTCACTCACTCTACTTGTCAACAGCCTTCGCGTCAGGCGACGCGCTCCGATGAAGAGGACGAAGGTGACGAAGATGAGGAGTCATCCGTCATCGTTGGCGACCAGGTAATTTAATTACTACTTTAATTTAATTTAAACTTGCTAAGGTTATCGTTACTTTGCATCGATCTATAATTTCGACTTTAATGCAAACACATAAGGTCCATTTGACATTATCAGTCACTGTATGGTGATAGCGATAATAGTAATTTAATTCGAATCATTGGTCAGCAAATAATGGTATTGGAAATTCAACTCTAAAAACATAGCTTAAAGTTTTTATCCCATTGTTTTTATTTATAATTTATTGATTCAACTCTATATTAACACCCTCAAGGTATATTTTTCCATGTCTCTAACATTGGTATGTTTGCCTGTCCCCCACAGTCGGCGAGTCTCCGGCCCAACAGACATTCAGCTAATGCAGCGCATGTAAGTACTCACTATTCATATATCAGTAACTAATCGAATATTTAGAATTTTTTAGTGGGGTAACTCCCCTCTCTTTTTTATCCCCCTAATCCCCCAAATCTTCTAATCTCTAACCCCCCCAAAGGCGGGCAACGTACTACTAACTCCTCTAATGTCCATGGGCGACGCCGATTGCTTACCATCAGGTGATCCGTCTGCTCGTTTACTGGCTTATTCACTTATTTACTTATGATTGGGTATTAATTTCAGAATACAAAGGTATGTATGACATAATTAATTATATTTATCTTTAACCGACTTCAAAAAAGGTTTTAGTATATTAATTAACCGACCTTTAAAATAGAGAGGTTATAGTCGGATTTTTTTAACATAGTTTTAAAGAATTATTATATGATGGTAAAGGTTTCGAAACCCCTTAAAACTATAATGATCTTTCAGTACTGGAAATTCGATTCCCAATACACCGTTAAATTTGAATCGTTTTAATCCCTTGGAAGTTCGAACTGGTCCATGAAACACTATCGATTTGTAAAGATAAAATTAAAAAATAAAGTACTTTTTTTTAATAACTCGAATCAATTCTCGCATGAGTGAATAAATAATGCGAACCGTTAGTAGGCAGCATTCCTATCAGTAACAACCTAACAACATTGACGCGGTCGCTGGTCAACGTGGACTCGCAAACATCAGTTGATCGAGTCAATAGCCGCCGTGTAGGTACCTACACTGCCCGACCGTCGACGATACGCAACGACCGACGACGACGTAGGTAACTATCTCGTGGCGCAACTTTTGGTTTCATACATTTTGCGAGTATAATCTTATCATTTGCTAATTTATTTATTTTTTATGTTACACCGCAGTACAAGCTTGTAATGAGTAGTATTCTGTTAGTTAAACCACAGGTCCATGGGATTAAAACGACTAAAATTTAACGGTGTATA